AGATCTGCACTTCATTAGGTATCTCAAGCTCACAGAGGATCAGAGTCATCTTGTAGAGAGTGTGTGAACAGAAATCACACACCCTCTCTTTTTTTCCCCCACACTTTGCTCTGAACGTACAGTATTTTTTCATCTTCCTGCATCAAACAGAAGTTGGAAGAAAATGCTGAGCATCGGATTCGGGTTTCTTTAAGGGTTTCAGATGTGTGAGATTTAGATATGAGACAGAGGAATGTCTAAACACAAATTTAAGTTGTTCACATCATGATTGCAGAAACTTTACGACAACTTTTGTGGCACACTCGCAGCAACTGGTTATCCTCCTGACAGCTGAGTAGGGAAAAAAGAGGTGTAAAGAGCACCAGTAGGGCCCATAATCTGAAAAACAAGCCAGCATGGATATTACCCCTACAAACTGCTGTCCCTCCTCAGTGAGCAGGCATCACATTGGACTACAGTCCAGGGGCCTGTTTCACTAAAGCGATTTGTGAGAACCCAGATGGTAGGATTTGCAAATTATTGTTGCTTGCAAATTTTGATTCCAGCAGGACTCTCACATGCTCGTGCACCGAAGTAGCAGAGAAGGGAAAATGACATTGTCAAAACTTCTCTCAACAATGGACAATGCCTCCTTTTCTGGTCATAAGAGATCCCTCTTTCCTTCCATGTACTTTCTCATGATTAAATTTATTAAATATCTCAAAAGTAACACCCATTTTGCGCCATTTATCTGGGTCCAGGTCACGGGTGGCAGCAGTCTAAGTAGAGAGGCCCAGACCTCCCTCTCTGAAGCCACGTCCCTCGGCTCTTCTGGTGGAGCATGCATTCCCAAGCTAACCGATGCACATATTCCCCTCCAGTGCATCCCGGGCCTGCACCAGGGTCTCCACCCAGTGGCGTCCCAATTCCCAGGAGGCATCCTAATCAGATTTACTCCAGATGGATTCTTTTGAGATTATGGTGTCTTGTTCCAAATGGACGCCGGCACTTTAAAGCAGCCGTAACAGCGATGAACAGATTTCCGTCTAAAAGCTGAAAAGGACATACGGTGGCTATTGTGAACTTGAAGAAGAGGAAAGTCAAGTGTGTCAGCGAGGTACCGCACATCACACAGAAAACTTTAAATGATGAGTGGCTGTGTACAAAAAGGGAGGGAGGTGTTGGTGTGATGGACAAAGAAGGGGTGAGAATGTGCTCCTAATTAGCACGGGGGGTCGCATCGGTCACCTCCTACAGTCCTGTACGGGGAACACACCGCTGCATCGCGACAAAGAAACTTGAGGCTAGGGCCACTTTCTGCCTGGCAACAGGAGCTAACGATCACCCCCTCTTTTTCTTTTTACGCACCCACTTTCTTTCTGGGTATGGCTGGCTTCTGGTTTGTGCTGACACACGGGCTGAATGGGAGCAGTTTCTGCTCCTGCCTCCTTAAAATTGCAGGCATGCCCTCTGTACACTTCGGAGAAGGTATTCGTATTCTGAAAAGGTACATTATGCCATTGTGCTATTAAGAAAAAGCCATTTCTGTTTGTTGGGTAATCTTTCAGATCTATGTGAAATATTGGTACTGTGCACTAGTAGCAAACACCTGCCTTAACATCTTTTTCTTTCTTGAATTTCCATTAGCAAAATAGAACTGATATCCTTTTGTTGTGCATTTTTCCCCCCATAATCTCTTGGCTATTTGTAATCCCATTTCCCATAATGCCATTACTATTGAATCTCAGGCCATTTGTAGGACGCTCTGCTCTCTGATGTGCAACTCCTGCATTATGAGTCCTATTAAGCTTCAAAATGTCTCCTGTACTCTATAAAACAGCAGCTGTAAAAGTCTAGAGAACTCGGTTTTAGCTATGCTGTACTCATAACCTTGCTAAAGGTTGAAACACTAACACAAACAACTCTTCACATATACACCAGACACACAAAAACACACACTAGCTTAAAACTGGTAAAGTGTAGCAGCTCTGTTGTTTTGTCAGGACACTTAAAAACGAACAGCTGTGAACAGATGAGCAGCGTTGGCACGACGAGGGAACCCTAAAGCCCAACAGTGACTTGTTAGCAGTTGGAGGTGGAAGGGACTTGTTCCACGGGAGATAAGAGCAGATCGTAGCCTGAAGGCGAGCGAAAGCAGATGCTGAGTGGTAGATCAGATGAAAGGAAAGGCCCAATGTGTTGATGTGACTGGATAACAGTCAATGAGGGACAGCTCGAGTGACACGTCTGGCTTCTGATGTCCGTCGGTGGATGGAAGACAGGAATCTTCAGAGGGTGCTCGCGGTGCGACTGAGGGAAAATAAAAATATGGCTTTTACAGTGTAGTTCACTTCGGGAACTATTTTTTTGTGTCATCGAGTGGACAGGAGGCCGGTTAAGATCGAGCTGGCGGCCATGTGATCAACAGTGGCCGGCTCACCACAGAAAATCACAGATCGCAATGAAAGGCAGAAGCCCAAGACAGCTTCATCTTTAGCACCATAGAGTAGCGTTTCCTCAGCACAGCTTCTTTAACAAGCTCTTCCATGTGCTTTGCTTTATTAACAATTACACAGATGATTTGGAATTATTTGGAAGCTTTGTTTAAAAGGCACTCAATGTACAGTTTGATTGTTGCTTACGGAAAAAAAGGAAAACGAGAAATCATCGCGAATGATGACATACCGCAGTTCACTTTGCAACATGCACACTGCCAGGAGCACAGGATTTGAATGAGTCACATGAACTGCGAGTGCTCAATTGCAATTGTCACCAAACAAAAAGCTCCCTCTCTCTCTGCAAGAAAGGGGTCTTTTGAGGGACACTGGAGTGGATCCTATTGCCCCGGAGGGAGACAAATTGGGCCCGTCAAGCCTCATTGCGAGAGTGACTGAAATTGGTTTGTGGTTCTGCTTCTGCACCATCCAATAAAGAGAAGAAACCTCAGAGAGAGAGTGAGAGAGAGATAGCGTGAGAGACGGGGGTGGCGGTGTTGGTGGAAGAGGGAGAGGATGACAGCGAGGGGAAAATGAGAGCAAAGGAGGGTGGCTTGACCATGGCACATTAATGTTGCAAGCGAAGCCGCGGTTCTTTTTAGTGCTGCGGCACCACAGCCGGGGCCGAGCAGGGGAGGCCACGGGTGAGCAGAACACAGACGCACACAGCGTTCCTGACACACACAGGCTTTCTGTAATACGGGCAGAAATGACCCACAGGCAATTTCTCTGGGGACAATCCACAGAGATGAAGTCACTGAAAAAAAACCTCATGCGGCTCAGGGATGGAAAGACCGGATCAGACGAGACGGGGTTGTTTGTGCAACAAATTGGGACAACTAGGGGTGTAACTGACACTCAGTGGCGAGGTTGAGGAAGAAGCTGCCATCGACATCCTGTTATGGCTGGTGGGAAGCCTAGTTACTTCCCACAGGTGTGCTGACCTTCTACAAATGATCAGGAGGGATGTTCAAGACAAGCAGTCCTCTTCTTGCTTTTAAACTCCTTACCTCCATGCTTTGTTAGCGTCACAGTGATGGCAGGCGGTAGTGACAGCGGGCTTACTACACAAATAATACAAAAGCAAAGCGAATGGTTACTACATGTCCACAAAGTTAAATGTGGCTCAGAGGAATATTTCTTCATCAGTGTTCTTCTGCATGTCCAATTCAGGGCCGCGGTGGGGAGGGGCCAATCCCAGCTGTCACAGGATGAGAGGCGGGGATGTTGCAAGACTAAAGGTGTTATTTTTGTATAAAACAAATGAGATACAACAAGTGGTGCTGCAAGGTTTTCTGCTCCACGTACTGTTCAAGGCTAAGCTAAACTGCCGGGTGCTGACTAATCCAGCAAGATTCTAAACTTCTAAAGAAAGAAAATTGCGATAATTTTCCCAAAATGTCAAACTACTCAGTTAGGCTGCTGTAAACACAAGGAGAGTGCCATTAAGTGCCGTAAAGTTTATGCAGTCATTACCAAAAGACTTCAGTTTTGTTCCTTTTGGGGAGCAATTTATGCACAATATGCAGCAAAGGTGACTCAGATGTTTTGAGCACATAAATATATTGAAAAGCGATCCACCTATGACATACTGATTAAACATGAGGTCAAACAGCAGCGGGGGGTGGGGGTGGCTTCCTGCTGAAGCTTAGTACACTGAGAAATGGCTGAGATAGTTATGGTTGAATTAAACAGATAAACAGAATGAAATTAGCTGGAAGCGATGCGTCGCGTCAACGACCACTTAGCAGACACAGCAACATTCCCCAGTCTGATTCCTAAAGTTTTCCCTGCAGGATTTGAGAGAGAGAGAGACAGAGGTGGGATGCACACACAGTGTGTGAAAGCATTACAGAAGAAGAAGAGATGAGACACACACAAGAGAAATTAAAAGACGGAAAGAGGACTTTTGATAAAACTGCCACGCAATTCAACACTGTCTGATGTGTGTGTCTGAGACGGCGTATGAGCGTTATCGATATGCGTGCGCGTGAGCGTGCGCGACAGCTCGGACAACTGTGAAAAGTGTTCTTAAACCCGGTTAAGAAGGATAGCAAGGACTGGTCCGGCCATTAAGGTAAAAAACAAAACCAAAAAAAAAGAAAAAATAATGAAAAAAAAAAAAGCAGAAAAAAACCCGACAACAACAGCAACAACAACATCAACATCAACATTAACATCATCAACAACAACAACATCAACAACAACAAAATCAAACAGAAAAATGAAAAGGAAAACAAAACAAAAGGAAACAATAAAACAAAAACTAAACTCTGGTTCAGAGTGTCTCTTCATCTTTGGTATAAAAATGGCCATCCATGGGCTGCATTTGATCCACAACTAGGAAAGACTACAGAAATTGTCAACAATTTCTTTCTATTGCTTTTGCACTGATTGGTTTAAACCATAAGCTCCTACTGAATCTAACGTTGTTGTTTTTTTTTTTGTTTTACTGCCAGAATTTTCTCTGTAGTTTTTTGTTTTCCTCCTGCTCATTTTATTTATTTTTTTCCTCCTTTTTTGTGAGTTTTTTTTTGCAGTGTGACAAGCAAAGCGGGCTAAAAACATCTTTAAAGCTCATAAAAAAGGTAAAATGTGGCAGATAAAAAGCACTAATGTCATCGACAGCAACGTTGCCATGTAAAATAATAATGACGATAAAAAACAAGTTCAGCATTTGCAGCAGACTGCATCCTGCAGGACTGCAGCATGTTTTCTTATGTTTACTTTTTCTTTTTTTTCCTCACTGTGAAAAATCTCTTCAAAGCTTCGCCCCCACCCACCCGACCACCCGCCCACCCAGAGTCTCCCACCCCCACGACAGACATTTGTTTACTTCTGACACTTAGTTACCTCTGACATAATAATTATCAAAGTTTTCTTCTAATGAAGAAAAGAAAAAAAAGCTCTTCTCTATTAAATCTGTACAGCTTATGTGATAGATTCTTTTTTTTCCTCTTTAGAACAATTCATCTACTGTCTTGCACCCTCCAAGTGGTCCAAGAGACTGTTTTTGTTAGCTTTTTTTTTTTTTTTTTTTTCCCAACATGACGTCAGACTTAATCTCTGTAAAAAGTTTCTGGCGCCCTTCAAATTAAGGCCATGAAGATTCAAGAAAGAAAGGAGAAAAAAAAACACCTTGTTTTTCGAATATATCTAGAAAACTAAGATTTAACACTAGAACATAAAAAGACAGAAAAGAAACTGTAGCTTAATATCTGAGGAAGACAATCTCTGTGTGTATCTCAAACTTGACTCCCCTTTTCTAATTACAAAATAAACTTCATCACCTACCTGCGCATTCAACCTTTTTTTTTTCTTTCGAATTTTCAATTTTATTCTTTTTTTGTAGTTTTTCTTTGTTTTGTTTCAATTCGTTGAGAATTTTCTTTGAGAAACTTTTCAAGCTTCAGCCCAGCCCCTTCAGGCAGGTTCCCAGACTAAACAAATTCACTTCTTTGCACTGTGCCCAGCAATTTTCCCCATCCCCTTCCTCTGCAATCTTTGCCTCCTTCTTGATTTTTTTTTCTTGTAGGCCAGGTAGGAAATGAAAAAAGTGTCTCTTTTTTTTTTTTGGTGCCTGGGCAATCTGGAAGCAATCTCTTTTCTTCTCTCTTTCTCCTCACATTCACAGTGCAGCCACCTTCTGTCTCAAGGCAACGCTGTCACAGGAACATTCGCTCAGGCCGTTGCTATCTGATGAAAGAGGAGAAAACAGAAATACAGAGAGAAAGAGAGAGCGTGAGTGCGTCTGTGGGGGTGCGTCTGCAATCAAAGCACAATTTTACAAACGCAGCGAAGCAATAGAGCCGACGGCTGACAGCTCAGTCAGAACGCTGGAGCAAAATGATACGCGTTAAAGAGTTATGATCGGGGCAGAAAGCAAAAAAGTGACGAGCAAATGACAATGGCAGCCAGGAATAATCTGAATCATTATGTAATGTTACTACATTTCATAGTACTTTGCTTTTTTGATTTCTTTTTAAGGTCTCTATTAAGCCTCTGCTTCACTGCTTTTGTTATCACAAACAATCTAGGGAGACTATCTACTTGTGCCATTTAAAAACAAATTGTAAAAAAATAAAATAAAACCTGAGAAAGTGTACCGGATTATAAAACCCAAAATGACTGTTTACTTCCAGCCTATCTAGAAAAGACAATACCTGATAAATCAAAATCACTGATCGCTTGGATGATAAAAAGTAGTAACACCCTGCTCAACACGTCAAATGGTTCACTGCAAATCCCCCCCAATCTGGCTGAACTTAAAAAACAAACAAAAAAAAACCAAAACCTGGAGCAATCAGTTGCTTAATATTGTTTTAAGTCAATAAAGTTAATATTTAAATGGTGTGAGGAATAAAACATTTTAGTTTTTATGTTATGTGTTCTGTTTGATTATGATATACACTTATTAAGTCAAGACAAATAGTGTCAGTTAATAAAACCCAAGTACTGTAGTATCCATTACTCCATTAGAATTGACATAAGGCAGTCGGTGTAATTAACTAACATTATTATTCATTGCTTTATCTTGGACAAAAAAACTTTAGACACTTTATATTTTAGTTCAAAATTAGCAGGACATCACTCTGCACATTACCAGCTGATAGTCAGTAACACAGCTTTGTGCTACAGCATTAAGGTAAATATAATCGTAATAGCAGAAATGTAAACAAATATACATCAGCTGAATAAGACAGATCATTATTTTAGCTAATCTTCATCATTTTCCTCTCCTTCCCAAACATGTCTGGATGCTACAATATTAAAGGCCAAGCATATCCTCCACAGACACACACGAGATAAATAAGTTGACGATATAAATGGTGATTACCTAATCTGCATGATGGTTAATTAAAATAATCAGTTTCATTAACTCAAAATGGGTGAAAATGTCATTTAAAGTATTTAATCAGCTTTAATTACTTTGAGCATTTGGGTTTATGTGCTGGATCAATACACACTCACTGGCCACTTTGTTAGGTACACCTGTTCATCTGCTTGTTAATGGAAATATCAGCCAATCGCATGGCAGCAGTTCATTGCATTTGGCCACTGAATTGCCTAAAGGGCTTACGAGAATGATAGAAGTAGAGAAAATATCCAGTGAGCAGCAGTTCTCTGGGTGAAAGCGCCTTGTTGATGCCAGAGGCCAGAGTTGAACAGCCAGACTGCTCGGAGCTGATAGGAAGGCAACAGCAACTCAAATAACTGATTGTTACAACCAAGGTATGCAAGAGGAGCATCTCCGAATGCGCAACATGTCGAACCTGCTACAGCGCCAGAAGACCTCGCCAGGTGTTACACCTGTTAACTAACAACAGGAAACTGAGGCGACTGTTTGCACAGGCTGGCCAAAATCAGACAAGAGAAGATTGGAAAAATGTTTCCTGGTACAACAACAAGAAATAAGGGATCCATCATGTCTGTATCAGTGGCTCAGGCTGCTGGTGGTGTAATGGTGTGGGGGATCCTTATTGTTTGGAACTAATGAAGTGGCTGGTGTGTGTGTGTGTGTATATATATATATATATATATATATGTATGTATAGTCATATATAATGCCATTTCAAAAGCTTGAATTTTAAAAATAAGATTATATATTAAGAAAAAACTTAATGAAGAGAGATTTTGATGCATACAAAAGGTTAGCAGAAACTGTCTCCTGCTGGACGTACTTGGACTGGTATGAGTAAGCAGGAACATGGTCAGTAGCACTGTCCACCTGGATCTGTTGCTGCTGGCCAGCCACGTCCTGTGATGAAGGAGCCACTGTCTGGGGTGAAGCGTCTGTCACCACTCCCTGGACACACACACAGACACACACGCATAGACACAGGTGGAAACATGTAAGCTTGGAAGAAGACAAGTATGCGGCTGTATCTAGTAAACTTCTCCTTCTGTCTACTCTGTGTTTACATTTGTGGTGTCGCATGCCTGTCTGTCTTGGAAAAGGGACAATTCTTCTGTTGCTTTTCTGCTGCTTATGAGGTTTGTCTTATTTGTTTTCTGTAAAAGGATTTTTTGGTGCAGTTTCATCACAGAAATCAAGAGTCTAAAGATAGCGAATATCTTTCCCGCAGACGTAATACAGACAATTTGATTTGACTTGACATAAAAGTATACCAAAGAGCATTTTTTTGTTTATTCACTTCTCAAACTGACAGACCCTATGGCAGCTCCATCCACTCTAAACACATAACTTCATTTAAAGTAAAGAGTTCTTCCATCCGAAGAAGCCAATATACGTTGAGAAGGATTACACACGCTGTAGAAGTGCGGCCGGCGTTTGCTTCGTGCACTACAACAAAAAATAAAAGGAGCATTTTTATTCTAAGAAGAGCAATACCGAGGAGGCTAAACAATAAAAAAGATGCACAGTCTGTGCGTGAGATCATGTCATTAATGAAACATACTTTATATTTTTTGCAGAATTTTAAGTCTAAGGTAGAAACTTTTTTAAGGATGGCTACGTACGATGAATTCATCACAACAGCCTCTTAGCCTTTTTACGTGTCGAGCAATACAGATAGCCACCATCACTGAGTCATCTCAATCACCTTTAACAAGCTCTCAAGGATACTGCGTCCTGTACATACATCAGCCCTCCAGACACTGGCTGATACAGTGATATACACCCCGCTGCTGACGCTGGCACTGAGAGGACAATTGTGAGGATGAAATAGGCAAGAGGTGCCGTGGGCTACGCTACAACTACATCTCTTTCCTCCGCCTCGCTCCTTCATGACGAAGACTGCAACTTTCTGACGGGGGTGGGCGAGGAAGCGACTAATGGCTCTGTCAGTGAAAACTGTCATTGTCCGTTGCCGGTGGGCTAGCCAGAGCTCCGTGGCTGACGGATGTGTGCATGTTCCAGCTACCTACCAGCTTAAACCGGCTGTAGGGGAAGAGGTGGGGTGGAGAGAGAGAGACAGCACCGCCGGCACTGTGTCTCACTTCAGCTCCTGTCATCTGATACACGACTGATAGTCCATCTGAGTACGACCGCACTGTCAGCCGCCAGACAGCTGGCCCGCTCTCCTTGCTGGCCTGCCTGCCTGCCTGCCTACCCACCCGCTCTCCACGTTCATCATTTCTCAGCCTGGACTGCCCGAACCTGCCAGGAGCTCAGACAGCCGCCGAGGAAGTGAGAAAGTCTACACTGCACTTCAAATGTCTTTCCCAAATACTATAAAACTTCTGACTCATCTTGCTTTGCTTGCAGTTTTTGATCCTTGTTATGTGCTTCTGGTACAAAGCCATTTGTTTAGAGAGAATAAAAGCAATTTGCACCATGCTTCAAATGTAATTTGTCAATTTAATGACTGTTTAAGTCTACTGATGTGGCGAGCAGGCTTAGAAATGGTGAAGGGAGTGCTTGTGGGTGGAAGTGAGTAGGCTGTTAGTACTAATGATGTCCTCCTATGCGTAAACGTCGACAGATTTTTAATACTTGACGAGTAGCGTGTGCATGCATGTGGGTCTTACTTCGACAGGGACAGCGTTTGGAGGCACAGGAGTGTACTGGGGAATGTAGGTCCCTTGCATAGGCGCCGCGGCGGCTGCAGCAGTCATGTACTGGAACAGAAACAAAAGACAGACACGCATCAAAATCCTGTCATGTGGTAATTCTTACAACACACATCGGAACCACAAATTCCATTATAATATTAATCAATACATGCTTTTCACATAAAAAAGCCCTATGTCTATTATAATTCCCTGGAAGACTCATTCAGTGTAATTACTCCCATAACTATTAAGGTGGCAGATTGCTGTGCCCTCAGCATCCTTTGGGGGGCGCTAAAAGAATATGTGTATATATTGAGCAGAGCAGAGCAGATCAGAAGACTACATAAGGAGAAGGAGAAGGAGGAGAAAGAAGAGATGCCCTGCTGTCCCACCAAGACTTCAGAGGCAAGCAAATGCACTGGGCCACAGCTGAGAAGATAAAAAACACGACACCAAACGGGATGAGGAGAGAGAGGGAGAGGAAAGAAAAAGCAGGTGGTCTGCTGCCTGTGGCCTATATTCTTTTAGTCATGCATGCCCTTGCTTTTAACAGGGTGCTAGCTTGCTTCAAGATGGCCATTTTACAGGCGTGACACAGGTTTCGTTACATGACAGCCAGGGGGGCTTTCACATGCAATATGAATGAAGACACGGCACTTTGTGCAAAGCCTTTTCTGTAACTTGCTGTGAATGCTTTGTGTGTTGGTGGTAATGGTGAACACACACACACACACACACACACATACATCAGTGTGAGCCTGATTTACTAGTGTGCGTGCTTGTTTTTAATTAGCACATGCCTGTGCATAAAAGATGACTTATCACTATTTGTCCATCCAACTGTGAATGTGCAAGTTCTCCTGTGTACAGCTGTGTGTGGGATACATACATGTGTGTGTGTCTCTGTGTTTGAGAAAGACAGACAAAGACAAAGAGGCTTGGAACGATAATGCTGCAGTACAGCGCCAACGGATGTGATCCCAGATAAAAGCCACCAGGCTGCCTCTCCCCCTGGCCTCATCTTCCTGCTGCTTTTCCGGACCAAGCGAAAAGGGAAGTACAATCCCTTTCTTTCTATTTTATTTTTCCCTTTGCCTCTTAGTCCCACCTGCAAGTGCTAAAAAGCGTGGCGGCAGAATGCAGTACGAGTCGGTAATGGAGGGGCTGCGCCGGGCTGCGAAGCCTTTCTTGGCCGTGGGCCCGGCGGTGCTGGTGAAGTGTCATTACCGGCAGCGTTGCTAATGGATCGGGTACGGCTCCACCGCTCACCGCTAATGAGAGCAGCTAAAGGCCATGGACATGGGTGATTAACTCCCCCACCGTTGCTACGCGCGGCCAGGAGGATGCCCTGGGATGGATGTTAGTGTGGCGTTCGTAGGCGAGCGTGGCTGTGTGGGTCCGGGCAGGGGAATTTAAGGTTATCACACCTTCAGAGCTGTCACACTCAGGATGGGGTGAGGTGGCATATCCAGACTTCCTGACACATTACCACATTACCTCTCCGTGTCGTCCCTTCTTTCCTCTCACCTTCCTGTCACTCTCTCTCTTTCTTGCTCGCTCTCTTTCAACCTGCTAGCGTCTAAAAAGGCCTATCAGATTGTTGAAGTGACCTTCTCCCCGGTGGATCAAAACCATGCATACCAATTTTCCTTGGGACTTTAGGTCTTCGCCTCTCCACCCTATTAACTTATTCAGCCAACTCACCTGTGAGGGCTGCATGAAAGCAAATGAAGGAAAGTAGGAGATAATTAGCAATATCAAAATCTCCCTGTCATAGGGAGAATGTCCATTTGAAAGGTTATATTTCTCTGCAGGACTGCAAAAGGAATTTAAATTAGATTTAACAAGAAAATTTAATAAGATAAGATTTTTTTCTTTTACCATAACCATTAGTTAACCTATTTAATGTGGCAGGTTGAGCAAGGCATATTTCTCCAGTCGCTGCTGCGGCAAGTCAGGGGGATGTCAAGCGCGGCTACAGATAATCGAGTTGCTATAGTGATAAAGATGATTTTTGTCCAATTTCAACACTTTTAATACTTTGCTGTCCATAGTCAGGGGACAGGTTTGGGTAATATAAAGCATCCCTAATTGGCCATAAATGGTGTTTCACTCTCCAAGTCACACATATACGTCAATACACATGCACACACACACAGCAGCGCCAGAAGCAGATGGCGTGTGCGTATGTTTGATGAACAGGAGGCCTGAATAGCTCCTTAACGAGAGTGGTGTGAGTAGACTCCTTAAGTCTCTTCTCTACCATCACTCTCCATGACATACACCTATAACTACGGTATAAATTCAGACCGCAATGCAGCAACACCAGGATGAAAATCCATAGCATAGACACAGCCGCGCTGGTTCAGCGGTGGTTTGGGCCTCTGCACCACAATGATGTGTAAAGACACTTTAAGTTTGGTGGGTACGAGGATTTCTCAGCTTTGGTGGAATGTGGCACAGCACATTAGCATTTCCAAATGTTCACATAAATCTTCTGCCTCTTGGCCTGCCACTCAAGCTCCGCATCTATCCATCCTCTCTGCGTTGACGCTCTCTTTTTCAGTTGTATCGTCTGCAAGGTGAGGGATAAGAGCGGGTCAAGGCTAGAACATCCAGCTACTCAGTGTATGTTATTAATGGCCATGCGGCGTGGGGGAAGGGCTCTGATGATTACTGATCTAAAAATCGCCGTGAAGTCCTATTGGAAATGCACATCAATTGTTGTGAATTACAGTGCTGTCCCACTTCACTGTGACAAGCTCTTCATATCCTCATCCCAAGGGTTTGTTAAGACTGCCTGCAGAGATTAATACCAGTAAAATCAGTCACTTTTATGGTAGAAAGCTTTGATACTTTTATTTACGACTCACTCTCCGTCACCAGGATATTGTTTAAACTTTTTGACCACTGATGCTATCAGTGTTTCCCACAGAATTACACTGCTTTGTAAGGACACGGGGGCATATACTACATATATGCGTGCGAGTATGAAAGAAGTGGGTTCCGGTTGGAGTAGCCCTTCAGCTCACAGCAGGTATGAAGACTACCGTCGCCAGCTGCAGTTCAAAATGTGGCGCTGGAGTCTGTCCGACTGCAGATTCTTGCAGCTGATTGACATTGAGGACCACTCAACCTGCTTTCTTCCTGTGAGCCAGACTTTCTTGTTATTTAAAGTGGTTTTGAGAAACAGGCTTTCTGAAGGTCTTTCAAAGTTTTTCTTTGAACATTGGCTGCTTTTTCTCTCATTTTCAATCCAGTCTTTTTTTCAGAGAAGCATTTTCTTTATTTCTTAAGCCACTTGGCACTAACCTTATAATCATTCAAGCATAAAAAGGCAGCTAACTCAACTCGTGAACCAGTGTTGTGTCTGCACATAGACAACTTTGCAAGAGAACCAGTTTGCTCCAATTTATTTAGTTGAATCTTTGAAAAATGTCCAATTAACATAGTTTGACGGCATAAAGTTGTATTTTTGCACCAAAAAGGTGATTCACAAAGAGCTATTGACGCAACATTTGGCATATCTCGGCATTCTGTGTAGTGTTTCCTTAAAAACGTGAGGAAACTAGACAGGGAGGACAAAAGAAATGGTAGGCCTACAAACTATCTATAGCAGATGAACAGTATCTGAAGGCCAGGACACAGAGAGATGCATCTGGCCTCTCACTTGTTTGGAAAACAGGGAGAAAAGGCCAAGCTATGAACTGAACTGGACTGAAAATCAGTGAGTACAGGAAATATTTGGTTCAAATCGCTACCAATATGGTGGAGGTCAGGAGAGAAGTGCAACAGGTGAATCTTGTCAAAATTGATGGAATTATAAACATAGGAAAGTACCATTAGATATTGATCCACCATGCAGTGCCATTTGGAAAGAGTCTGATTGGCAGTGGCTTCATTTTTCATCATGACAATGATCAAGAAGGCTGGAAAACTATTCCCGAAGACTATTTAAAGGAATTAAAAGAAGGCTTGCCTAAGAGAGTTCAGACTGTGTTGAAGAATAAAGGTGATCATACCAAATACTGACTTCTTAAAATTGCACAAGCCCTGGTTTTGCCTCATATGACGTATTACTTTATATATTTCCATGTTTCATCAAATCGCAGCACCTATTTCCTATTTTCGTAGCAAAATATAAAAGAAATGAGGGGAGGTCACTGATTCCCGATCCAGCCTTTAGATTCAGGATCAGACCAACATCAAACAACAAGCTCTAAATATTTCAAGAGAATGTAAACCTGGACTAAGAGAAAATAAAGATAGTTCAAGAGTGTTGCATTAAAAATAATCATCCCAGTCTTGCAAAGACCAAAGAGCTCGGTGGTAGGGGGAATCAGCAGGGTGTCAACATGTGTTACAGTCCGAAGTCGAAGAGGAAGAAGAAAGTGCATGCTCGTCAACTTTACCCATGCAGGGAAAGCTTACGAGCATGCACACGCTCAGATGTATGTAGAAAAAACAAAAACACGAGGGAAACTGTCCAGATAATAAAGGAAAACACTTCATACAAATCTGTCTTCCTGTGACACAGATGCTGTCAATCACCGCTGTCACCATGACAACAGAGTTCTTCGTGCCATGACAGAAAGAGGATGGAGAACACTGAGGGAAGGTCACCTCCTGTCATGTCAAACAATATGTCGTTCACACAAACGCAGATGCTGACAGGCATGCAATCACACACACACAGACACAAATATCAAAAGGATGCACGCACATGTGCACATGCACGTGCACAGCGACTAACAGGGACACGAGGCATGACAGATAGACTCCTGTTAAGTGGTGAGACCTCGAAGACGGTAAATAAATCAGCAACAGAGCAATATGCACCAAACAAGGTAAAATAAATCAGCGTGAAGCATGGATGGCATGTTTATGTGTGCCATCCATAAACAGTGCGCCTGAGGTTCTTTAGCATTCTGTAATCAAGTCGTTCAAGTCAGACAGACACCAAGCTGAACTGGATGAGTTCAAAACAGAACATTTTCTGGTGAAGCAGCTAAATTCCAAAGCAGTGACCATTAGGAGGGAACGATCCATGCTAATTCGTTATGAGGCGAGGTTTTTCCTTGCCGCTCCTTTTTAAAGCCTCACCCTGCAAGCTGATCTGTGCTGCAAAATAACACGGCATTCTCGGAAAGCTACGGTCACCACACCAGTGTGACAGCTTGGGCGGACTGAGAACATTTGGTTCTTTTCTTGGAGAGAAAAAGGAAGCCACAGCCATACACAAACAGCCGCAGCGAGGCCTGGAACAGCCAAGAGTATTCTGAGGTGTGGCTCTACTTCAGCAGCCAGAAGCATGATAAGTTGTTGACTCTGGAGACGGTGCTTACTGCAGGTGCTCTTCTGCGGTGAAGGCTAAGTCACGTGACCAGTAGGGGCATTCAAAATAACCTCACCACTTCTTGTGTGTACACTTGAGGAATGTGCTCGAAGAGTATGTGGTGTCAAGTCCAGTTAAATACATGAATAGTTACAGATCCTGGTTCCTAACCCCTTCTTTTTAACGGGCTTTCCCAATCATGAAAGGGATTTTACATCTGGCGTAGGAAACGCGTCTCAATTCCCCAAGATGATCAAGTGTGGCATGGCGTGCGCGTTAGTTCAGCCGTAGAGAGGTTAGGCTACACAGCACATCGCCTCAGGAAAGCTAAGTACGCATAAAGGGGAGAGGTAGAAAGGGTAAACCCGAAATGAAAAAAGCAGACAGAGAGCTTTAACCCACTTTCTCCTATAATACAACCCATCAAACATCAGAAGCCATCATCATAGATTAGCCTGTCTCTAATCCTGGCTGTTAGCACAGCTGGGGCAGATTAGGGAGGGGGCATTCCTGACAGAGCCAACATGGCGTCACAGTCGCTGACAGCTCACCTGGAAACACATGGATAACTGTACAATGCAGCACTGTTTCAATCATACACACCCAAACACACACACAGAGATCAAACGTAGTTCTGGAGCAAAGCTGTCTGCCTGCCCGCCTGCCCGCGGGCAGCAGGGTTAGGGCAGGAAGTCAGGCTTCAGAACCGTGTGACACCTCTAAGTCGACTTGATCCTGAAACAGGCGGGGAGTTCACGGTTTAGGGGCCAGCAACTGTAAGTGAGTGTGTGGAAAACTGATGGAGCGATAGATTTTCTGTGCGATTTAGAGAGCGAGGGGAGACAGAAAAGTGTGAGAAAGAAACAGAAATTAGGGGGTGAAAGTGAAAAAGGTGGAGAAGCGAGAGGCCTGTCACACTGTTAAGCTTCACAGGAAGTCTGTTTAATGTGGAAGATCAGGAAGGAAATACGCTCTCTCAATATGTGGCTGTGAACGCATGCTGTGTAAAACAAATGATATGGCAGCTCCGTGGCTGAGCACATGTGGCGACAGCCTAAGAAGGTTTGGCTTCTTTGAAAGGAAATGTAAAACCCATCTCTTACTCAGTGTTTCTAAACTAAACGAACAATGTTCTCTGAGATGAAATGCCTCCAACTCCGTCATACCGACCTATAGCACCCCTGACAACAACTTGAACATTTCTTTTTCATCTCTCAAGACTAGACGCAAATTTTGTCAAGATATTTTCCAACTGTATACTGGATAGAGGAAACAAATAACAGACCACGTATATTTAAAGTGCACCCTTCTATGAATCGATTTGATTTCATTTTGGAGCAGACTACATGTCATCTAACCTGCAGACACCCCGGGATACTCCACTAGAAACCGGAATGTATTGCTGGGGAAAGAAAGACACCTGGATTACACTGCTTACCCACCGTGACCGGACTTCGGATAAGCAGAGGAAAATTTGCTTGTGCTTGCTGTTACTGTCGAGTGTATGTTAAGTGACTTCCAGTAAACATGTAAAATATGCACTGAGGACGACACTCTGGCAAGCTATGAATGAAGCTTTCTAACGCTGTAAAAAGATGAAAACAAGTTTTAACCCAAACCATGATCTCCTGTTTATTCTGTCTGAAAAGACCTGAAAATCAAACCAGACTCAGAGACTTGGAAGTCCTTTTGCCAGAGCTACAGATCACAGCTCGAAATTATTAAAATGAATGTTGAAATGTTATTATGTATTGTTGTTATGGTGCACAGAAGCACAGTTTATGTAATACAGAGTACAAATTGTAAATCAGGCCGTTAGAATTTAGATGGTTGCTGGTTGTACTTTAAGGACTTGTGTGCACTGTTTTTTTTATGTTTTACATACATCTCTGTGTAAGTCGCCATAGTGTAGTCACAAGGGTTTTGTTATTGAAGAATAGCTGCTGCATGGCTGTACCTAGTGCAAAGCTAAACTAAATTCAACTAAACTTCATCATCCAGGAACTTTTTCAAAAATGTAATGCAAAACTAACTGAAACACTCCAAGCAACAAGTTGTCGCTAGTACAGCTAACATGTTGGAGCACTTCAAAATGTCCTTGTAGCCAGATTCTGTCACGATGATCACGGTAACTATGTGTGCTTGTGTGGGGTTATCTGTGTGTGGTTCGCTGTGACACAGCGAATCCTACTCACACTTCCTGTAGTGCCCAGGGACAGATGGTTCATCTGCTGAGTGAGAGGGCCCATCATATTGGCAGGCTGCATGGACATAGTGTGGTCCATGGCTGGCGTGATCACTGCACCCTGAGGGAAGCAGGTAAAAACAAACAAACAAAAAAAACAAAAAAAGGACAAGGTGAGAAGAATTAAGGAACAGAAGAAATGATGGAGCATTTTGGTTTAGTGCATGTCTCTCTCTGATTAACTATGCGGGCTTACATAAGCCTTAATGAACTTCCACAAGTAGTTGCTAGTCCTCATACTATCTAAATATAAATTATATAGTGCTTTAGACTAGGTGAAACAAAGTGAGATGAAGTACAACATAAAAGAATGTCAGCATGAGGACAGAAAGAAGAAAACTTGGGTTAGCGATTGAATCATCAAAAGCATGAAATGAATAGAAACAGAGGAGGGTTGTTGGGCACAAAAAGATGGACGGTGTCAATAATCAGCAACAGAACACAGGGACCAATACACACCACTGTCTTTAGTCTATCAAAGCCATCACTATCTGCTGCCGATGTATCAGCAGTATGATTTTTTTTTGGTTGCCGAGTGAAAATGCTTTCTCTCCGTCCCTCGCTCTCACTTGCTCGCTCTTGAGCCTGTCCTCACAGTATAATGCACAGCATGTTTTTCCCTAACGGGCGGATGAGAACACTAGAAGCTTCTTTTTCACGGTGCAGTGAAACATGAGGGAAAGTGATGAAACCATTGTTGCTCTTTCATCCCTTGTCATGATAGCTCCATTTCCTCAGCACTGAAGCCTTCGAAGGAATGCGTTCAAAAACAGCCCTTTTTCCTCTGCTCGGCTCTCTTCTCTTGTTGTGCGCTCGTAACACTGTAACGGTGCCTATGTGTGTTTGTGGGTAAGCCTGCAACACACTGTGTGTAACGAGTGTGAAGGAGGACAGTACTGTCTAACTTCAAAGTGTGTGTGTGAGTGTGTGTGAGCGTGCAATTTAAGTAGTGTATGCTTGGGAGTGTGTGCGCATGTGTGTACCCCCACTGGCGACTCTGTGTGGGCCTTTTGGAGAACAAACTGTGCAGACACAGCCTGTCAGAATTGCTCTGCTTGTCTACTCCCTGCATTCCCAACACAGGCAGCTAAACGGCTCTTCCTTCCTCCCTCTCCTCTTCCATCTCTGCTACCTCTAGCTCAATATAGAGGCTTCACATGAAACTTTGTGGAGGTACACAAACAAGAAAGAAACTGGATAATGAGTGGACACAAAAAGTAGGATTAGTTGTCACCTCTTCATGTCCTGGACTAGTGTTGTTGAAAACTGTAAGCCTAAATGAATAGCCGTGAGGTCAATTAGAGACATAAAGGAGAACGCCTTATAGGAAAGAACCACGAAACACATGGATGTATCAAGTTCTGAAACCTTGAAAATGTTTTTTTTGGATACAAATATTAAGACAGGTGACTCAACAATGACAGTAATTACCAGTCACTAAATAAATGTAATGTTTGATAACAAATAAAGGCCCTGTGAGGAGTGAAGAAGGTAATTAAATACAATCTTGTGAAAAAGAAGGTTTTCACAGGACTCACTGCATGGTGAGTCCTGGGGTGTACTTAGTTGAAAGCAACTAAGTACACCCCAGGATTTAATAGCTTGTTTAACCGCCTTTAGCAGCAATAAGTTGAAGTAATTGTTTTCTGTATGACTTTATCAGTCACTCACATTGTTGGGGAGGAATTTTAGCCGCTCTTCTTTGCATCATTGCTTCAGTTCATTGAGTTTTTCGGGCTTTTGTTTATACACAGTTCACTCGCCGCAGCATTTTGATCAGGTTGAGGTCTGGGCCATTGTGACACCTTGATTTTTTTTCATTTTTCAGACATTCTGTTGCAGTTTTGCTGCTTTGTTTGGGGTCATTGTCCTATTTCATGACCCAGTTAGAGCAAAGTTTTAGCTGTCCAACAGGTGGCCTCACATTTGTCCACAGTATTCTAGAGTCAGGTGGTCGACTCAGTGACAATAAGGTGGCGCAGGTCCTCTGGCTGATAAACAAGCCCGAATCATCAACCCTCTACCACTGTGCTTGTCTTTTGGAATGAGGTGTTTGTGCTGGCAGGCTGTTTGGTTTTTGCTCAACATGATGCTGCAGATTAAGGCCCAAATGTCTCCACATTGGTGTAATCTGTCCAAAGAACGCTGATCCAGAAGTTGTGTGGGGCTTTTTTCAAATGCAACTTTGCAAACCTAAGCTGTGCTGCCATGTTTGTTTTAGAGAGAAAAGGCTTTCTCCTGGAAACCCTTCCAAATAGGCCAAACTTGTTTAGTGTTTTTCCTAATTGTACTCTCATAAACTTTAAGATTTAACATGCTAATGGAGGCTTGCAGCTCTGAGAAGTAGCTCTTGGCATTCTGTAGTTTCTCTGAGCATTGCGCGTCAAATTCGCTGAGATGTCCACCTCTGGGGATATTGCAACATTATGTTAACACACGCCTGAATGTTCCCGATCAGCAAACAACAAACTGCTTTTATAGAGGTGTTTACACTCGATGATGATCAATTAATCAAGTGCATTTCATCATCAACCTCTGCTATTTTCTCACTTACTGGAAGCAGTAAGGATGTGCTTTCCTTTTCACATGACAGTAAGGTTGATATATCCCGCCCGAACTTAAACTAAGATTAAATTCCCTCGTGGATATGCAGACGGGAGTCTTTGCACACCACGGGCAAGTAGTTGTACCTATTACACCCACATTCTAAGCTGCCGGGAGGGCACTTCAAGGACACATACATAGTTGGTGCCCTAGTAATAAAGTATTTCTTTTTGGACAAGTAATGTGTTGACACCAAATTTGAGGGCATGTAGACATCTACACTGAGCTTGGCATACTCGCTCTGTTGATGAAACGTCAGTCAGACCCAACAGACCCTTTGGAAGCTTGTGGAAACATAGCACTGCCATTAGAAGAAGAAAAAGAATACACCTTAAAGTTCAAACTTAATACTAATCTCAGTGGAAAAAAATGGCTTCTGATAGGTTTTGTTTTTTATTGTGAACTTGATTGTGAAGTTTTTTGATGAAGGTATGTTTAAATAAAAAAAAAAAAAAGACGAGAATATCAGCTCTATGTATTTTTGACCACACTTAAAACTGCTAATCAACAAATGATTTTTACAAAAGTACAAGTATCTCGTAGTGTAACACTTATATATTATCAGATTCTTACTGATGTATCAACATGTATGCAGCCAGTATTTTCATGTTACAGGTGCTGCTGACAAATGTAACCACTTTACATGCTGCTGAGTACTTTACTGTATAATCATACCTAGTGTCCTAAAAAATGACCCTATATTTTGTATATAAGCTGAACTGACAAATTATAGCAGCAATATTAATGCAGTCAAAAGCACACAGGCTTTCCCTGTGAAATGTGAGGACTTATAAAGTAGCACCAAATGAAAATACCCAGTACTATTCTGCCACTGGCTGTGACAGATGAATAAATAAAGGGAAAGGGGAAATGAGGAAAGAGAGACAGAAAGACACTGTGAGGACTGGAGAGAGATGATTAAGCAAAGATGGAGGTCATGGGGAAGACGGGAGCGAAGAGCGATAGATGAGGGAAGTGAAGCCAGAGACTTGGAGAGAAAAAGTGGAATTTTGGAACGAGAGAGAGAGAGAGAAGTCAAAGACCGAGAATGAAAAAGAAGACAGATGAGTAAGGCGGAAGAGAAAAAAAAAGAGAGAGGAGAAGCGAGAAGGAAGCAGCAGGGGCTGTGGGCTACCTGTTACCGATTCAGCCTCTGACAATGCCTTTATAATGGGAAAGGGAGAGCAACGGAAAGGCTTAATTCACAGATGTGTCAGGGAGAGTTAAGCCGATTTGTGATTTCGATTTTCTGTGTTTGTGAGACTGAGTGTCTGTGAGAGAGAGGGTTTAAAGTGTGCGCGTGTGTGTCTGTGTGCAAAAGCGTCTGTCTGGTTGTGCGTCTGTCCATTGATGGGCTAGAGAGGAAAGAAAATGAGAAAGAGATTGACACAAAGAGACAATATATGTTTTTGATTTGTCCTCTGCGTGTAAGAGAGAATAAGATAATGCCTGCTGCAGACGTATCTGTTACAAATGTATGAGACGATGTTTACAGAGCTCCGCAATGTATGCACATGTATTCCTGTTTGTGCATGCGTCTGTGTGCGTGCGCGTGGAAAAGCCAGTCCTGCTTAAGGTGGTATTGATTCTGCTTTAGACCGGAGATGAGATGATATCCACTCGTTGCCTGTAAAATACATTGATATACGCTCTACGGCTTGACACAATGTACAGTAAATAAGAAATCTTGTAAAAATTCTTACGACCAGCAGTGTTTTCTTTTAATGACTATCGCATTACGAGCACTTGCTTATGAAACACTGGTTGGTATCAGCTGATATTCATTACCTTGACTTTACATCTGCTGATCAGCAACGCCAATTGTAAAAAAGGTGAGGCAACTACATAAATGTCACACAAATAGTGACTGTTTTTACTGCCTGGTCCATTACAGCTGAAGGATCTCCACCACATGCAGCAGGCTATTAAGATAATTTACATTCAGGTCCAGACCTCCATACACTCAAGATGCAGTCAGCTAAGCAGTATGCTCAGGCTGCTGGTATCAGACTGAAAGCAGTATCTCCTTTTTACTAAACATGTCCTTCTAGGGGACGCCCAGAATTTCATCCAGTTTTGTAAACACTAAAAGTGTGCTTTCTGGGACTGGGATTTCTGTCTTAGGCAGGCACAGAAGGATAACTGCCTTCAAAATGAACATAGTGTAATATTTTAGAGTGAAAAAAGAAAATAAAATGAGAAAATTGTTATGGACTTTCTGTAAAGATAAGCATTACAGTGTCTGATTCTGCTGACATGAAAACTGATCAGTATCAGCCGAAAAAACCTGATCACAGCACCCCCACAGCTAGCTATTTTTGCTAATCTCTCACTGCTGCAGGTTATAATTTCCCACATTATTGCATATCTACCCTGCTGCTTCAAGCCGGTGTTGATACATGTAACTACCTTGGGGCAATACCTTCACTCGGAAAACAGCTTGAGGCCACAAAGAGA